AATTAATTTAATTATTAAATTATTATATAAAGTATTTAATAAAATATAATAATTATAATCAATCGTATATATATATATCCATATGGATAATTTCGAAAACGATTTGCATGGGTGCAAAGAACTTTTTTTTTATTTTTCGAACGTTAATTAGCTACGAGTAATTTATTTTTATTATAATTAGAGAGAGCAGCGGGTGGTGGATGCATCACGAGAGATCGGCCTTGATATGCATTCTTACTTTATATTATTTTGAGTACGTATCGTCAATTAGAGTGTGACCCTTTAGACTATTTTCTTTTCCATCACTTTTCAATTCCTTTTTAATATTTACGATTATTATATTCGATCACACACTGTGAGATTTCGTAATCGATTATGGTTGCGATAGTTTAAAGTTCACGAGTACTATGCTATATAGAAATTTATTTATCGCGCACGTTCAATATTATTATTCGAATAAGAGATCAAACGATTAGATTATTTTAGAAAGTTACAACTATCTAATTGTTGTATTTTTCATCTGATTAGGATAAATAATTTTATCATTGATATACGATAGAAAGTTGAACAATTTAATGTTCGATTGTTCGATTTTATTAGAATGCGAATATGAATTACAAATTAAAATATTTTCTAAACAAAGTATTTTTGTACAATTTTTATTTAAATTGAAATAACAAATTGGTTGATTAGTAATCGTTCAAAAATTTCCCAGTAAAATTGTATTCTTTCAAAAACACTATTCAATTTTATTGAACACTTAATAATAGAATAAAAAAACATGTCTAACGGATTTTTTATGTAATTTTACATAACATTCTTTATGTATTGTATATACATGTAGAGACATAATATTACCTATACACAAGAGTTAATTCTAATTAAACATTCTAATAGCGTAGACGGGGTTTCATCATCGTTATTATCTTGTTATCTTTCAATAAAGTCTTTATAACCGATTATGGTAGAACTTATTGTGTTTAAAAAGGCGCAACGGGAAATAACATTCGATGTGAAGCATACCGATGAGTTTTCGTGCGAACGAGAGAAAGTCGTTTCTTCGTATAGAATGAATGCATACTTCCGTGTCTCCAATTTCGCGATTTTCATTAATTTCCATGAGAATTATTTACGCGATAATCGAATGATTTGTTAAACTTATTAATAATCGCATAATTATTCGCTAAAGAAAATATTTAATATCAACACCAAAATGAAATTACTGTAATAGAAAATATAATTATAAAGTATTTTATAATTAAGTGAAAACACATTTTCCATTTAATATAATTTTACATGGTTGATTAAAAAATAATTACAATTTTTTTTGCGTTATTTTTATATAAATAAATTAAAATGTGTTATAAATATTTCTCAAACAAAAATACTCGTTTTTAAGAAAAAAAAAACATTATATTAATCATTAATAATTAAATCAAAAATAATTATTGTAGTGTAGAAAATAATGATTAGGTATTTTCCATTTAAAAAAAAAAACCATCAAATATTAATAACAATTACATTTTCTTTTTATAAATATAATCACTTGTGTGTAGAAAAATTTCGTAATAACTTACAAGCAAAAGAACATTGAGATTATTAAAACGAGATAATTTAAATAATTAATGTTAATAAAAATTAATTATCCCGTATATATATACACACACAAAAACATAGCATAATTATTATCATAATTTTCACCATTGACAAATGACAAAATTACGTTTATTATATAAATAATAATATAATTAACCACAAAAAGAAGTATGCTAAACGTTTTGTTTAAACGAATTATTGCGGTTATTAAGATAATATAATAATTTCAAATAAAATGTGAAATAATAATCTGGAGAAGATTCGCGACAAGTGTTTTCTTGTTTATTTTCTCGTTTCTATTATCCGTAATATCATTTCTCTGTCTCATTCTTACTAATTCATCTGCTCGCAGGAGCCATGTGCCTTATTTAAAAACAGTAATCACGACTATTATTCATGAGAATAGTGTGTAACTGTATTCTCACGGTGCAGTGACTTTGCTACCAGCTATTATGCACCGCATTTGAGATAGTGCTCGAAATAAAGAAGCAGAATCCGCGTGGTTAAACCAATGACTACGACTACGACTACGACTACGACGACAATAACGAAACAAGACGTAAACTTTAAACTAAAAAACTAAATGCAACTACGAATAATACAACCTACAGACCGAAGGAGGATTCTTATTGTTAGAAACAATCCTGCTACGCATTGTAATAGTTTTTAAAACCGCAATAGGGAAACGTATAATGATAGTTCGTGCTTTCTGAACGTTCACCGTTTTCTCTTCAATTTCGAAATAAACCCCCGAGATATTTACAAAAGGCCAGATAATTTTTTTT